AGAGACCCCACAAAAAGCCCAATAAAGTTAATAATAATAAAATTTAGGGTTATAAAAAATGTTGTCTAAAATTAGTTGGCAGCCATTTTTAGAGAAAATGTTTGTTTTTCATAGAAATTTTAATATCACAAATGATTGGCAAATTGAAGGTGTCAAGGGGTTATAGGAATCTCAAATAATGTTTAACAAAAATTGAAAACTGATAGACTTTGTATCAATCAAATGGCATGAGTATGGTTCTAGTGATGCAAGGAAGATTTTAATCAAATTTATGATATTATTTGTGATTGGAAGAAGTCCTAATAATTCACGTTCTTATTTTTCTTTCTACATGAAAGAAGTTATTTTATGTTTAATAGTATATAAAATTTATTAACACGGTCATTGCAGGGTCCCAAGCCCCGGATGTAAAAAGTGGAAAGTTGTGTTAGGTAGTCAACAACCGGCAGAAAATTTGTCAAAAAATCATGACAAGAATCCTCTTAATCATTGTGTAAATGCTAGGGCGTCCCCTAGAAGCGACACATTGTATGGCCTGAATATAGTGAAAAGTATGCAAGGGCCGTTACAACGGCGTCCGCGTGTAGTGTCAAATAAGTAAAGGTTCCCACATTACGAATGAATGCAGATAAAGAAGTTAGTCCATGAAACTAATATTAGGATATGATCTTAGAATATAGGTACTCTCACATTTAGATTAATTATTTGATATTATGATTCATAGAAAGATAAATGTCTATGTATTTAAGAATATGAATGGGTTGGAGAAAAGACTAAGGAGATTGATAGCTTAGGTTTTAAAATTTGATATTCAGGTTAAAGTCGCACTAGAAATGGTGTAGGTGTAATTATAGATAAGAGTTTGAAAGATAATGTTGTAAAAATTAATAGAAGTGGAGATATAATTATAGCTCATTAGATTGTCATTGATACTAAGATTTTTAATATTATAAGTGTTTATGCTCCTCAAGTAGTTTAGATATTTGTTCCAAGGAAAAAATTTGGATTGATCTAGAAGACTTGGTACAAAAATACCTCTTGAAGAAAACATTTTTGTTGGAGGAGATTTAAATAGACATGTCAGTTGAGTGATAAAATACTTTAAAAATATTCATGGTTGCTACAGTTTTAGAATGATTAATGAAGAAGATATATGCATATTAGATTTTTCTAGTTGATCGTATTTTCAAAAATTTCATTGAAAAGTTTATCAAAATAACTCACCTATTTATGTTGAATATATTTTTCTAAGAAAACCACAGTTTGATTTTCATTGTTAATACACTTTACTTGAGTTAAATCTTTTTTTTTTCTCTTTATTTGGCTAGCTTATACATATATTTTCACTCTCTTTATTATTTAGTCTATTATAAAGATCATTAAAAACAGAATTTTTAGCGTCACATATTGTTCTCTTAGACTCCCTACTAGTCATTTTATAGTTTTCTCATTTCTCTAAGCTCTAACATTACTTCTTATATTTTACCATTTCTTGCATATTTTTATTCCACAACCAACTATTTTTATTTATACAAATTTTTCCTTTTAATTCTCCAAGTATAACTTTAGCTACTTGTTTAATAGTGTTTCTTACCTTATCCCACATAGAATTATTAGCTTCTTCATGAACACCCCAAATCTCTAAATTTTTAAGCTTACTCATAAAAATAATTCTATGTGTCTTTTAGGTGTCTCCATCTAATTCTATTAAAATGTTTGCTTGATGTATGTTTTTCGCTGATGATATCTTTCTTGTGCATAAGACTGGAGAATGAAATCGGGAAAAACTTGAATTATGGAGGTCTACATCGGAGTCTAAAGGTCTTTGTTTGAGTAGAACTAAAATTGAATACATGGAATATAATTTTACTAGTAGTAGCTCTAGTGACAGAGTTGTAACTATGGGGGATCAAATTATTAAAAGGTGTGAACGCTTGAGATATCTCAGATATATTGTTCAAAGTAATGGTGATATAGATGGGGATGTTATTAGTAGAAATCAATTTGATTGTTTGAAGTGGAGGAATGCTTCGGGGCTATTGCGTGATAGAAAAGTACTGCTTAGACTGAAAGGAAAACCTTATAAGACGGTGGTGAGAACTGCAATGCTCTATGGCATAGAATGTTGGCCTTTAAAAATGAAGCACAAAATTAAGTTAAGTGGTGCTGAGATGAGAATGCTTAGGTGGATGAGCGGCTTTACACTTAGAGACAAAATGTGAAATGAATATATGTGTGATAGGGTTAGTGTAGCTCATGTGGCGGACAAAATCAGAGAGATTCATCTTAGATGGTTTGGTCACATTAAATGTCGACCATCTGATAATCTTGGTAGGAGAGTAGATGTTGTAGATTCAACTTATGTTAATAAAGGTAGAGGTAGACCTGAAAAGGCTTGATCATATTATATAATACATGATCTAAATTTATTAGAATTAAATGAAAACATGACATCAATAAAACGCAATGGAGAAAAAGGATTCATGTAGCCGACCCCACTTAGAGGCGTAAAGACTTGTTGTTCATGTAGTAGTATATACAATGTATTATCTAAATTGAAAAAGATGGGGCCATTCTCATTCAACCCCATCTCCTTCTCCATTTAAACTTGCAAAGAAAGGAGTCATGCATGAATCATGTATAATTTTTCTTTCTGAATTCCTTGGCTTGGAGGGTAAAAATGTTATACTTATGTGCTAACTAGTTTAGTGGATAAGTTTTTTTTTAATAATTATAAAAATTCTTGAAATTAATTTCATATATATCAAAATTATACTTCACTACTCAATATTACCAAAAAAAAAAAAAAATGCTCTACTACTTAAAATAAATTTATATATATAAAACTTCTAGTTCTACACTATCATTTAATTAGATAGATTAATAAAAATTCGTTCAAAATACAAGAGATGGTATTTATCCAAAACTAATTGCCCTAAACCCTAAGATGTTAAAAGATTTATATGCAATTACTTCTACTAATGAATCTCATTACTTAAAACCCAAACCATACAATAACTGACTGAAATATGCTCATCAAATTTATGTAACAAACTTTTATATTCAATAAATTTAACATAAAATTAATTAGTCAACCAAATATTATACTATTGTAAAATGAAATTAAAAATTAAATTTTTGTCCCATCTAAATTCAAACAAATATCATGCCAAGAACACATGAGCTGACATGAAGAGTGGTGATGTCGAAGCCTTTGAAGAGCTACCACGGACATGATTTGTGCGGAGTGAGTTGACCAAGTAGAGAAGCGAAGCTCGACAGATGTTTTATTTGTATATCATCTAATTTTTATGCGAGATAACATAAATAGTAAGTGCTGTGTATGTAAGCAAAATGAATAGCTTCTCCGTCTCAAACCTCCGCAGCAGCTTCCCCTCCATTTTCCTCAAACCCACAAGCCCCGGCTCCAATTTAGAGGTGAATCTTGTTTAAAGGGTATGTTTGTATGTATGCGTACGAGTGTAGAGTGTGGAGGGTGGAGGGGAAGAGAAAGTGTATGTATGTGTGGGTATGTAGATGATTGTCATGTGGGAGGGAGTGCAAGTTGTACTAAGAGATTCCTACATGTTCATATCCCCACTGTAATCGCTCAAGATAAAGAGTGAAATGTGATATTTCTAAACTCTTAAAGCTAATCACGGAGCGTTTGATGCGACAAGTGGTACTTGTGCCCACTTTTTTTAGTGTGGTGAGCAAAATTTGTAGGACTGTAGTTAACAAGATTGACCTTCGCCGAGCCAATGTAATCCTCCTCCTCATTAGGACTGTAGTTAACATGAATACTTCTCTTAGTGATGTTTAAACAATCATTTTTCGATAATAGTTGTATTGATCATGAATTTCAATGAGAGAGGTTCATTTATAAAATTAAAATTTAAAATTATAGAATTATAAAATGTTTAAAGAAAAATCAATCACTTAAATGCTAAAAGTAAAATTCATCTACCCTGCACGACCATTTGTCGAGATGGACAAATTTAATATTAACTCGAAGTCACAAAGAGTCAACGTCATATCAAACATACTATTAAATTCAAACTCAAAATAATCCTCTACCCGCATGATTTTGCAGCCAAATGACACCACAAAGAAGTGGTTACGATTATAGCTCTCTAACCGCATGGTTTATCGCCAAATAACATCATTATATTACGGTCATGATTTTAACTCGTATGTTCCCCTATTGTAGTTTGCCCTTTTGAGTATTAAATTATAGGGCATATTTGATAGGGTGGAAAACGCTCTGTAAGCTAAGATCGCCTTAAACAAATAATCACCTCAAGTCTATCAACCCATGATTACTGACAAGGATTCTTCATCTAGATTGGTCGACTATCTCTGCTGATTAAGTAGAATCGGGACCATGACAACCTGAGATGATGGAAACATGAGATTTTGCTCCGGTTCATCATCGTTTCTTCACCACCTGCTTTGAGCTCGTGGTGATAATTTTTATAATTTTAAAATTTAGAATTTGTTGTTGTTATTATATGCTGTCTGAATACTTGGAGCCTAATGACTATCCTTAATAAAAAAATGCTCTCTCGTTATCGTGAGGGGTAATTAACGATAAAAACTTGTGCCTTTGAAAATCCTAGGATCTTAGAGTCCTCACAAAATGAGGGTGAAATCTCTGAGCAGTATCTTATCTACAATCTCTTCTGTCTTCTAAAAATTTAGCCTAAAACTTAACAATTATGCCCTCAATGAGAGTCCGATGCATTTTGAATTTTCGGAGCCCACAAATTTCTAATCAGATTTTGATAAATTCTATTGACATTCTGTCTTCATGGCAAACAAATTGGATGCGATAGAAATTGTTTTTACCATCTCATAAGTAAATAGATTTTGTTACCTAGTTAAATAATTTAAAAATATTTGAGCTCAAAAACTAAACAAAGCTTTATGCTTTCTACATTCATTCACATAATTAATCACATTGAAAAAACTAAAAGAAAAAAAAAATACTAACAGAGTGATTTCATCATTAAAATAGAGAAGCACATTCACAATCAAGGCTCACAGCAAAATTACATTCATTAAAAATATTGAAAACTTAATAAAAAACATATTATAAACCAAATCTTAAGAACTCTGCGCAACGCAGGGCATCAAGAATTGACAATTAGTTCTGGAGCCACATTATTTCCCATCCTTGGTTTCTTATTAATGACCTTAGTAGAGCCCTTCCCTGCAGCAAGTGTAATTGACTCTTGTGGATCATAAGCTGAGAGATGAACACCAAGAGCAGCTCGGCCGGACGGGTCGAGGTTCTTCGACCACTGAGCATCCCACTCGATGGCCTTCGCCGTGCTACAGGCAACACTTGGCCCTCCAGGTACAGTCAGCCTTGCAGAGTTCTGCAGTGAAAACATTCAAAAGTTTTGAGCTTTTTATTATTTGATTCTAGTATTGTGATGGCTTTCTTATTAAGGGATTTAGCTGTTTCAGTTAAGACTCAAACACGTTACCTGAGGGAAAAATCTTTCAAACACCATGCGGTAATAGTAGGCCTCTTTTGTGTTGGGTGTGTTGTGTGGGAAAATATGTTCGGCATTAAGCATCATTTTGTCGGTTACCTGCAAAGAAATGGTGAGACATTATTATTTTAGTTTGATATTTGGCAAAAGTTCTGAATTTTAAAAAATGGGTGCGTATGAGATATACATGCTCTGCTGCATGAGCTTTAAGTCCATCAATCCAACTGTAACCAACTCCATCACTGAACTGTTCCTTTTGCCTGTAGAGTATATGCTGCAAAGAAAATTTAGAGATTATTACAACAACTATTTGGAGATTCCTTTTTGTAGAGGAAGAAAGATGAACATGAATCATAGTTAATACCTTGGGCAGATAGGGATTCTCCGCATCATCAAAAGCTTTCCTCACCACCCATTTCTCAATTCTCTCAAGATCAGGCTTGATCTGATGATATTTAAATCATCAAGACTTGATGAAGGATTTCAAATAATAATAATAATAAGCCAATATCCTGTTCTTACCATTTTCCACTCTGGATCGATACTCATTGCAACTTTGATGAATTCTTTGTCCAGAAATGGGACACGAACTTCGAGGCCCCATGCTGAAGTTGCTTTGTTTGCCCTCAAACAGTCATATTGATGAAGAGCTTTTATCTGTAATTTAAAATTTAGATACAGTACCATGATTTACCCATACAATAACTGAATCAGGCGAAGCATATGGAAGTGCATACTATACCTTCTGGCAAGTTTCTCGGTGGAACTCTTCCTTGTTTGGTGCCTTATGGAAGTATAAATATCCTCCAAAAATCTCATCAGAACCCTCCCCTGAAAGCACCATCTTCACCCCTAAAGCTTTTATTTTGCGTGACATGAGAAACATAGGGGTGCTTGCCCTGATGGTGGTAACATCATATGTTTCAACGTGATAGATAACATCCTCAATAGCATCTATGCCATCCTGATGTTAAAGGAAAAGTAAATTCAGAAAGTTTAAAGATTAGGATATATATATATATATATATATATATATAAATATATATATATCCTCATAAAATTAAAATTAGTAGATATTAACATATCAAATTTGCAATCTTTAACCCTTTTCACCTGCACTGAGAAGTGAAACTCATGGTGGAAAGTGCCCAGGTACTCAGCAACCTCTTTTGCAGCCTTCAGATCAGGTGATCCCTAGGAGAGTATTAAACAAAATGAACATATCAACATTTTAATCATGAAAATGAGTTTGGAAAAGGCTAATAATGATAATGATGATGATGAATCGTCAAAATATGTGAAAAAGTAAAACAAGGAAGATAATTAAGAGAAAATCAGCTTACGTGTAATCCAATGCAGAATGTATGGAGTTGAGAACCCCATTGTTTGGCAGCTTTTGTTCCGGCCAAGTGACGAGCAGTGACAGAAGCAACCAATGAAGAATCTAATCCACCAGATAACAAGACCCCAAAGGGAACATCTGTCATGAGTCTTTTAATGACAGCCTGAAAAGAACAATTATGTTGGAACCATTTATGGTTTAGAAGTACATCAGAGATCTCAAACTAAGATAAAAGCTACATAATCATACATTCTCAAAAGCCTTCCTCAAGACAAGAGGATCAAATGGAGATGAAGGAATGGATTCCGCAAACCAAATTGGGTTGTACCATCTCCTAAGTCCACCTTGTTTGCTGGAGTAGAGATGGCCAGGAGGGAATAGCTCAAAATGTTCACAGTCATCATTAAGCCCTTTCATTTCTGAAGAAATCCAGACAGATCCTGAGAAGAAAAAAGTTTAATATTATCATCATCTATTGCGCTTCTTTCCAAATAAAAATGGTGGGAGAAGAAAGGCAATGCGCACCATCAAGTCCCCATCCAATATAGAGGGGGGTTACACCAATTGCATCACGAGCAACAATAAAGCTGTTGTCTTTTGAATCATGCAGAACGAAAGAGAAAACACCATCTAACATGTCAATGAAATCTTCACCATGTTCCTCATACTGTTAATAAGCAGAATCAAAGATGGTTCAGAAATTATTAGTCAGAGTTGTCAAATCTGATTTCTTCGTAAAGGGAGAAAAAAAATGGAGTAGTCTCGCACCAGATGTGCAATAACCTCGCAATCACTTCCAGTTCTGAAGTTGTGGTTCGATAATTGAGTTCTAAGCACTTCGTGGTTGTAAATTTCACCATTAACCTATAATTTAGCTCAAACAAGTATTTGTGATTAAAAAACAGGAAAAATAACTTAATGATTAAAAAAGATATGCTAAGAATAGAATAGCATATGCGCACATATATTCAATCTAGTTTATTTAGAAGATGATTAGTCAGCTTCACAACCTTGACCAGAAGGAAGAGCAAAGTTAAGTTTTTTTAAAGATAAGAGATTATATAACTAAATATTTATCTAATAAAAAACCATTATACCCTTATTAATGATAAGATTGTTAAAAAATTGCTAATAAAAAAATTTATTAAACCAATGTTTCTCTTACTATAATAACTCGTCAAACTCAATATTTCATGAAAGACTTTTATTTTTAATCATATTCATCATAAACTGGTCAATTATTACATGATTCCATGTGATGGAGAACCTTTTTTTTTTTTTTGTGTTAATCAAGACTTCAAGTTTGGTCTATTTTTTGGATAACAAAGGCAATAAATTCAACGATGTCCTGTGTGTGTATCTATATATATTTATAATATATATATATATATATATATATATATAATAATAACATATATAATTTTTTATATTTTGAGCTAAAAATAATAGAACACAATGGAAAAAATGGTTTTTTTGTGTGTTCGACTCCCTTATACTTCGAGCTTGAGAAAATGTTCGTGTAAAGCTTGCTTAGTTATGAACGATAAGAATATTAGCTATTTAACAAGCCGAACAAAAATTATTCGTGAATAATGAGCTTTTTTTGACTGCCCTGTTCTAGAGAAAAGTTTTTCTTCTATTTGAAAACTATATATATATATATATTGCCTCTTTTCCATGTAAGTTCACATTGCAAACTTCTTACCGTCACAGCGATGCTCTGGTCCTCATTATACAGAGGTTGGTCTCCTGAAGCAGGATCGATGATTGCAAGCCGCTGGTGCGATAGATAACAATCTCCATGGTGGAACAATCCACTCCAATCTGGACCACGGTGCTTTAACCTATAATATGATGAAAAATATCATTTTTTTCCCCCAGAAATCTAACTAAATTACAGAACCTAATTGATGAAAAAAAAAATCTTATCCCACAAATTTACTATCAATACTTTTGCAGGTAATTTAATTATACTCATCAGAAAGGGACAACTCAGCCCTTTCCAACAGAAATCGAAAGTGCGAGCTTCCAATTTAACACTTTAATACCATCAGATTGTTAAATGCTACCTCATTACTGAATCAGATTGAGGAAGAATTTCAGCAAATGTTAGTCGTTTTTATTTACTTCTAAAAATTAAGATTAGGGCTTTGTTCCGCTCCACAAATTCGACCCTAAAACATATACCAAATCATAAGATTAAAATAAAAAATAGTCCAAGTCTTCGCAACATGAATGTAATAGGGTTTAGTTGAGATCAATTGAACCAATGCTCAATATTCATTGCGTTATATGAATTAAAATCCCCATAATCTCCCTAAAATTAAGAGCCGCTTCAAAAATTAAACTAGTAAAAAAGGCCAAATAAGCCTAGGGTTTGAGAAACAGAGAAAGAGAAGGGATTGCCTGCGAGAGAGCTCAAGAACTCGAAATCTCTTGGCCTGGGAATCATCGGAGCAACCAAGAACAGCTAGAATGCCGCACATGGCTCTGAGAAAGAGGAGAGAGATTGGATGAAGGAGGGGAGAGAAAGAATGCAGTAGAGAAGAGCAAGGGAGCTTGGGGAATGATGAAGAATCGAGGCCTCTATTTATAGGCTCGCCGCTAGCCCGTGCCCATCCCTTTTCCACGCAGAAGATTACATTTTGTGAGCTGTTTCTATTTTCCACATAAATTTAGGGTCCCAAAGTTTTGTATCTGCATAAATAGGTTCTAATTTAATGAGGAAATAATTAATTTCATTTATGCTATTATGTAAATTTGCTTATTGAGTTATTTTACATTATAGATAATATAATAAATAATTTAAAATATTTTTTAATAAATTGCACAAGCACATGCATTATATGTCATTAGGTTTAAATTTAATTGTTGGTGTCAAGAGAATCAAACTGAATGGCATATTTCAAGTTTAGTAGAGAAAAATAATAATTAAAAAGATATATTAATAATATTATTATATTTTATTATACACCACATGTAGCATATAATGAATAGGATTCCGAACTAATTCTATTATATGATAGTGAAAATGAATTAATTGCTTTTTAAAGGTACTATTGAAGAAAAGCATCTTTTATATAGCTAGTGTGATTAAGAGTTGTTTGGGGCTGCAAAAATAAATTTATGTTCAAAAAACTGCGATGACAATTACATTTAGTTAAAAAAAGTGTCATATCGAAGCTAGAAAGCTGTAACCACATCTAGTCAGGACCGATGGAAAAACATAGATTTCAATATCATTTTTTTTTGAAAAAGCTGTCAAGACGCAGTTTACCCAAGAAGACAATAACTAGGACTTCCATTGATGTGATTCTCTTGTTATTATGCTTTCATTAAATTGCACAAAATTATGCTACTATGAGTTTATATGAAATATAATTTATTTTCTAAATGAGTTTATTTGTTTAAAAAATATCAAGAAAGTTTAGGTGATTTTTTTTTAATATATAAATGAATGCAAAATTCATTAATAATTTTTTTTATATTTTAGGGTTTAATGGACTTAAAGAGCAATTATTATCCATTTATAGGAAATAAAGGGAAAATTTCTTAGAGCTCCCGGTGCCCGTAAAAAGAAGCAATTATTGGTCAGACTTGTAAATCTTAATTAGGTGTCCATGAAAACCGGAGCATGTGAGTGGGGGTCCAAAATCCAAATATATCATTTTTTTTAATTAAACTATTTAGTTTTAAATAAAAATAACTTCTATCAAAACCGGACGGTGTGATTCAAGTTTAATTTTTTTGTGCGAATTTCTGACGTAGCTCTACGTGCGGCGGAGGGTATTCTTTATTTCTAAGTTATTTTCAATAACTCCGAATAACCCAGAAATAACTCGTTGTCTTCATTTTTGGGTTTTTTCTGGGTTATTTTCATATTTTGGGATTATTAAAAATAACCCAGAAATAATCTTAAAATAACTTAAGAATACTCTCGGCCGCACGTAGAACTACGTCGGAAGTGTCGCCAGAAAATACGCTTGATTCGCTTACTTGTTTGAGCTGTCTAACTTGCATGTAATCAGGAGTCGGGTCCACAGATCTGTATTCATCTTTTTTTTTTTTTTTCCCTATTTATCATAAGAAATTAATTCAGAGGTCTGATGAGGGAACGTCATCCACCACGAGAGACATGCTATCCTTAAAGTGGTTAAAATAAGATGCATCTTCCTGCAGCATTTGGGAGACAAAACGCCATATTTGGAAAGATAGAGTAAATAATAGCTTTTTTTTTCTCGCATTTTATATTTTTAATTTTAGATGATAAGATTTTAAATAAATTGAAATAATTTTTAATTATTTCAAATTTGTTCATCCAAAATTTAAAATAATTAATGAATGATGTGGTAGAATAAAAATATTTATTCTTTGAAATGGATAAGTATCTTTATCTCACACACTCTCCCTCTCTTCACACACACACACACACACACACACACACACACACATATACCTACGGATGAGAATGCATAAAGTTGAGTGTTTTTGAGATGAGAATGCTTAGGTGGATGAGTGGATTTACTCTGAGATATAATGTGAAATTAATATATCTATGAAAGGGTTAGTGTAGCTTTTGTGGTGGACAAAATTAGAGATTCATCCTATATGGTTTGGTCATATTAAACGTCAACCATTTGATGGACCAATTAGGAGAGTAGTTGTTTTAGATTTGACGTATGTTAAGAAAGGCAGAGGTAGAACACCTACAAAGACATAGGCTTATTGTATTAAAAAAGATCTCAATTTATTAGAATTGAAATGAAAATGCGGCACTCAATATGATACAATGGAGAAAAAGGATTTAGTTGACCCCACTTAGTGGGTTAAAGGCTTAAAGTTATTGTTAGGGAGACCTGCAATGCTTAATGGCACAGAATGTTGGCCTTTAAAATAGAAGCATAAAATTAAGTTAAGTGTCGCCGAGATGAGACTGCTCAAGTGGATGAGTGGCTTTACACTTAGAGATAAAATGTGAAATTAATATATCTGTGAAAGGGTTAGTGTAGCTTCTGTGGCGGACAAAATTGGAGGAGTTGTCTTAGATGGTTTGGTCACATTAAACGTCGACCATCTGATGATACGGCTAGGTGAGTGGATGTTTTAGATTTGATTTATGTTAAGAAAGGCAGAGATAAACCTACAAATGCTTGGCATATTATATAAAAATAATCTTAATTTATTAATATTATATGAAAATATGACACTTAATATGATGCAATGGGGAAAAAGGATTCATCTAGCTAGCCTCTCTTAGTGGGATAAATGCTTGTTGTTGATGTTGTTGTAGATATGTTGAAGTTTGTGGATTTAGTAAATCCTATTAAAGATATCAATCACTTCCTTAGAATTTATTAAGATTTACTTATTAACATACCAAACATTTTTCAGGATTTAACGCCTTCAAGATTCCGTGTTTTCAATTTCAGTGGTTTGTATATTACACTTTGCAGTTTTCCCTTCCATTTACTATGTATTTTTGTTTTTTTCAGTTTAAGTAGCCTGTAAATTGCATGCATGCAATTTAGTGTTACCATTTCTTTTTTACTACATATTATTGCACTTCATCTTTAGTAGTATGTAGATGTACTAATTAAATTTACTTTCCTGCTTGCAGATGACTTTAAGAAAAAATGGCAGTATCTCCTCGTCGGGGGATGTGTTAATTTTCATGTGTTCGTAAGTCGATGAGGTTATGGACGAGGTGCTATCGAGGGCACCACACTAACACCTACAGTCCTAGCTACCACACCAGTTCTTCTACCAATCATGACCCCGACACCACTACCATCCCTAGCCACGGCACCACTAGCCATGAAACTACTATCGCCAACACCTGCGACCAAGATACCACCACAGTCACTAACAACGACCATGAAACCACTAGCATCATCAGCATCGACTGTTATTGATATGTAGTCGAGTTTGAGAAACACGAGCATCCTTCATGAGCTCAGGGTTGTGGGAAACATGCAAGTTTTAATTTAATGGCCACCTTACTTCCTTGTATTTTTTTTTTTAAATTTAATAGAGAACTAATTACTTGTTATTTTCATTTTTAGTCCCTTTAAATAGAGCATCCATTCTATCTGAGATAAAATTCAGAGCAATCCTGGAAGGAGATCCCGATCATTGTTCGACTTATGTGGTTCGGTGAGTTTAAGGTAAATCCTGAACACAATAATTACATCGATCTTTTTATTTTTATGAATTTAACAATTTCTAATTCAATTTACATGAGCAATTGTCCTGACTCCCCAAGGAGGAGACACTTGAGTACAAGGGAAGCGATCGTCTGCGAGACCAGTTCGGTGGTATTAGTCGGACACGTGAGCGCCCTTTGTGGCTAGGAGAGGATGTGTTTGTTGCACTGCTCAAGGCCTGCGACTCTTTCAAGTATCAGAGGAATGGGGAGTAAGCAACTTTGAATCTTCGCTCTGACTGCGGAGGCATGGTGTCCTCAAAGCACACCGATGGAGCCCTCCCACATTTGCAGTACAAGAGGAGGCTGGTAAGACATATTTTTTAACGTTAAATGTCTGTTAACTATTCCATTACACTGGCAGACACTGGAGAAAGAAGAAGAGCCAACTGTTGTAAAGTTACACGAGAGCACTCATAGGCGATAGTCGGACCATTCCTAGGTGGACAATAGTTCGCATGCGACCCAGGTAATTGAAAAGATTAGTAAGTATAAAATTCAAATAAATATTAAAACTTATTTATTCTCTCACTTTCATTAATCATATGTTTTTTAGGAGGCCTTTGCTCAGGCGCATCTCACGAGCCTTCTGAGTAGACCTCTGAAGTGAGAATGTCAGCAGAAAGAAGAAGAGCAGAGCCTATGGGTTAGGGTCCCAGGTGTTAGCCTATGATGCTTGCCCGACCTCTTCACATCGCGTGCATCCACTTCCACTTTACATAAGGAGGTGATGTATCACCAGTTTGCTGCTAAGGTTGCTGCCTAGGTAGCCGTCCTGAGATTGAAGATAAGAGCAGAGTTCGAAGCGGTGTTGCATTTGGATCTGCAAAAAATAAAGGAGCCAATGTAGGATGAGGGTGGGGATGGTGATGATGAGAAGAGTACAAAAGATGATGAGGAGGATGAGTATAGGGTTATTTTTTATTTGATCGTGCATTGAACAATTATTATTAGTACACATTAGTTTTATTGTGTAGTTGTACATTTCATTTGTTTTAATTCAATTATTTTTCTTTTATTTATGTATATGATTTATGAGTTAATTAGTTTTGTTACTGTGTCTTGTTGTGTTTTGATTGATCTATTACGATTGCATGTGTGTAGATTATAATGTTGAAAGGGAGCTTCTATTTTTTTCTGATGGTACCGGTTTTTGACAGCTTATCAAAGGTTTTACGACTTTTTTTATGGAACAAGTGACGATTTTCCGACAGTCTATTAAACAAGCGACATCTGGGAAATTTACGGTACATTTGCTACGAACAGAACCGTCGGTAAATTTTCACAGTTAATCGATGGTTTGATAACAGTTTACAGACAACACCGCAACATTTTTCCAACAAAACCTTAACACTTTTCCTAGGAC